ACAATCCCCCCCCCCCCCCCCCCCCCCCCCAAAAAAAAAAAAAATAAGCACAGTTGGGTGGTCTAATCAGAGTCGATGCTCACTACACACATAATGGAGGGCGACTTTTGAAGTTGTGCGGAGCATCGTCTGTTGCTACTCGGCATAAACACTCACACAGTAGTACTTTGAGATGACCAACAACAAAACAACCAGCTGCAGTGAAGTTCAAGCAAAGGGTGATATTCTGTCTTGGTTACTAAATTTGAATCTAATCGCGAAAGCTCGTTCCTGAAGTGTCGGTAAGCTAGCCAACAAACTGATAACGAAGGACCTAAGAAGAATATCGTTCAGCTACTGAGAATGTCTGACCAAGCCATCAAACTCGACTGAGTGAACGTTGGACCTGATCGAACAAGCGTCTCTTGATTTTAGAAAAATTAAAAAAATGCAACTAACGCCCGCCTAAAGAATTAGATAAACAATCGTGTAAAGAATGACAGACAACGCTGGTGAATTTCGAAGGTTCAGGAAATCGAGGTCTAAACCACAGAAAACAGCCTCGTTTTTTCAAGCTGGTTGGATCAACTGGTCAGAACATTGGTGTCACAAAACGACTTGTGAAAAGGATGAAACAGTAATTTAGGATCGTATTGCTGAGCACGAGGTTAAGCACTCCAAAGGACAGATCAGCTTAGTTTCAGCAAAACAAGTTTTGGGAAAGCGAAAAGAGAAATACCAGTGGGATGAGGTGCTTCGACGGTGATTCCAACCCTAAGAAACATAAGGTAGCACCAAAGATACTCTCTGAAATTTAGGTCTGACCGGTTACTAGTAGAAAAATTTGCGAGAAGGAAGTCGGGTTTCGTCCCAACCGAGAGTGGACTGACAGGTGCTGAAATATTCTGCCTCTTGTAAACCAACAGAGGTCATTCCTACATTACTTTCAAATTGATTCCGGTAATGTTAAAATCCATCATCTATAGCTTTGGTTCTTCGTAGCTCTTATCCATTATATAGACATTGTACACCAAACCCCATGAACGCGCACGGCCTTACGGAAAATGTTCGGTTGGGCTCACGTCCAGTGGCGTAAGAGTGGGTTACACCTTCACCATTCCTACGCAAACTTGTCACTAACATGCTGCTTGGAGCCATTCAATCTGCCTCTGGTATCCTGAACGTTGACGTGTTCCAGAGGCGTTAGCTCACTGACACCAGTTATGGAGACGATACTGCCCTAGTGCAGATTCTCCAGAGATGGTATCCACGTTAGACGACCTAAATAATTCTGCCAAACTATTGGGCATGGGCTCCACACACACACACACACTCCGTGAAGTTTAGTCTTCGACCACTAGCAGGAAAGTCGCGAGTTCAAAACTCTCTGGATAATCTTGAAATGTATATTAACAATGGTCCCCAATAAGGATGAGATACCTGCAGAGCGGCGTCTCCAACCCGCGAACTCCCGGACAGTAGTTTGGATACCTACCCAATTAGCCGCCAGCATTCATGGCATTGCTCAAACAAATAGGCTCCATATGATCCAGGAGTTAAGCGTTATAGTAACCCATCAACAGCACACAAAGCACACCGCATCTCTTACCAAAGCCAATTCGCGCTCTTCTACTTTGAATTTCTTTTCATCCAGATAACCTTCCAGAGCATACTTTCCGTACGTTTTCTTATTGATTGAATCTCTCATCAGTTGAGAATATTCCGGCATTTTTTTCATGTCGACCCAGGCGTCATCTGGAGAACAAAACGGTTGTCGATTGGTCACTTGGAAGAACATGAGAAACATATACACACAGCAGGAGACACAGAACCAATCCCACTCAAACACAGTTATCCTTTCATAAACCTGACGGTACGCAAGAGAGCTGCACTAATCAACCCATGTGTAAATAACAAGAGAAAGTAAACCGTCCAGTGTGGTGCTGTGTTGGTTCGGTAATCCGGACTTCGCCAGCATGTGAGCGGAGGGGAGATAGAACTGGATGACCACGGTGTGGTTGTCAAGGCAGAAGTAATGACCAACAATTATATCAAGCAATGTAACTGCTCAAGTATTTGCCAACACGTGGATGAGCAATGGACATCAAACTAGTTGATTTGGCATGGTTTATAGGCCAGAATAAATTACCACTTGCCGTGCCGTGTCAGATGTTATGTGAGGTGGCTGAGAAACAGTTAAGAAAAACAGTCATTGGAGTCATGAAAAATGGACATTCGATAGGTGACCAGAATGGATTATCTGTCATCTGAATTGAGTAAAGAGGTCGTTTGGATGTTCAAGCCTGCTTACCGCCGTCCAAGCGATATCCATTTGACTGCACACACCTGATCTTCATGTGGGTGGTGAAGCTCAACTGGCCGGCAAAAACAGCAAACCGGAGCAGACTTCCAGTTAAGCATTGACTGATTCTGACCTACTGATTCTCAAATTTGGCGCGGTAAATGTTGCACCACTCAGTGCCCAACGGCGAAGTTTCATCTTTTTCATATTCAAATGACTTCTGCCTTTACAGCCCAAATATACCTGTGCTATACCATCACGTTTAGGTCACTTGACGATTTGCAAGACTTGTGTACGTCAGCCCGCCACGGATAAAAGTCGGCATCAGGAATCTGCATGCAGCACCACACCCGGCTTCGAGCAAGCCGGCTATTCAAACATGCGCGAGGTATTTAGCGCCGACCGGTCGATCCGATTTGGATGCCAGCCGTTCACAGATTACATTATAAACTATAAGAAAACAGGGCTAGCTTTCTACTTCATTATTCCGACAAACTCGAGCGTTCGAAACACTAAAGACCATACATTGAATCCAAATTGGACGGATTTCGACAAATTCTCTCATTTGCGCGCGAATTACATTTTGAAAGGGGACTCGGCCGAATCCAGATGTATCCCACGTTTATGATGCGGACTTGTAAAAGTCAAATTTGTGTGCAGTTTGTGGGCATTTGTCGAGATGAAGTAGCAGCGCACGGGAAAGCCCGAAGTTTCTTCAAACACTGGTCAAAATAACTGCACACAACGATGGATTTTTACCAATCTTTTGACCTTTAAATTGAATACCGTCGCTATACTTGTGTACGTCAAATGCAGCTTTCAGTTCATTCATTTCGTATGGTAACAATACGGTCTAGTCTCAGAAGGCAATCCTCATGACCAGACAGTGACACGAAATCTTAACTGATTTGATTACATACATATGTGCTCGTGTGTATTTAACAAAATGGTCTATTGGACTAGAATAGCCCTGCATGCCCCTCGGAAGGGGTACACAACATGAACAGTGTTAGCAGTATCCGAAGTACGCAAAGGGGCTAACTTGAAACGCACTTTTGGGCAGGAACGTTTTATCATTTTCTCTGATCACCTTCCTGTCTTCCTCATCTTCAAAGCACAAGCAAGAATGGCTTTGATGAAACTTTTGTGCTTTCACAAGTTAAATCATATCAAAGAAGCTTTTATACATCCAAAAATGATTGTTTAAAACATTCCTATGAATAAATATTTCCTCATCGTTGACGACGCACATTCGGTAACACAAGTTTTTTACTTTGTTCAGAATTTTTGTGCTTTGAAACTTTTCACGTTAATCACATCATCATAATCATTATGATCAGCTGTAAGAGCGCGTACTTGTCGTATAGCAGCTGCCACAATTTCGTCCACCGATGAGATGGGGTAGGCAGCTGCGCTTTGGAGGCGGGAGCTGATAAGTTGGTGCGTAAATACAGCACTGTCAGTGGATTGTCAATTGGGGGGGATTGGGAAGGCAGCCATGCATTGAGGACTATAGCTTGGATACACGAGCGCCATGGGGCGCGACTGAGCCATGTCTGACAATGTCTCTAACCATTGATGTGGCTCGTCTCGGGGTCCCCATCCAGGGAGACGACAATGACCAGCGCAGCTAAGTTTGCTGATAATGGTTTTCACACTTCACTGTTCGAGCTCCTCTGGCTCATTTCCACCCTTCGGGTGGTTCTGTAAAAGAAGCCCTTCGAGGACTTCGGTCGACGGGCATACAGAGCACGTGGTCAAGCCAGTGCAACCTATGCAGTGTGACCAGTTTATCTATCATGGGCTAGTTATTTCTTCCAAACACCATTCGATGTATTTCAGCATTGCTTATCCGGTGTTCTTACCAAACTCTGGTCGTCAATGGGAAAGGAGCGGATGGATCAACGCTGACTAATGAACGATCTTAAAAGTTTGCATAACCTTGACCAGAGTGCGGGTGGTCGGATGTGACTCGGGAAATCTCCAATCACACCAATGTCACACATCACAATTTTGGGGTTATTGAGTTCGTCGTACATTCAAGTCAATTAATGGAGCCAAAAATGGGGTGAGTCCGGTCATCAAAACAAAAGGCTTCTAGGGGAGCATCACGATACATGATTCTTTGAAATTCGGATGAAGTGAATCGTGAGTATTGTGGACGCCAGTACGAATATTTGCAGCCTTCTGTAAAGTATCCCTCATTCACTGTTGTGCCTCGCAAAGGGTACTGAAACTCTGATGTCGTTCCTTTACTTGCTGTTCCATCCACTATGGTATATCGGGAAGCATGATAACCTGAGACAGCCTTTTACGGAGGCGAAAGATGGTTGTCACAACCGTATTAATAAGATGATCACAGAAGTTTCCAGAAAGTCAAGCTAGAATGTTCATGATGAGAGCAAAAACACCTAGCTGAAAATTGCTCGATCGTGACTGGATAAAAAATTCCAATCAATCAGGGCACGCCGGCTAGTGATACATCCGTTCAATCCAAGCAGTCTTAGATTATTCAAAGCGGTTGGCCTCCGGACCTTTTTGTTTCTCGTGATCCAGCAAGTTATTAACCCACCTCTAGTATGTTGTGCCGAGGTGTTTGGATGGATTTCGCGTAGATATTAACCCCATCGTTTCTTTTGGGAATGATTCGTCGACGGAAAAACACTGCACTCTGTCTAATAGTGACTGAACCATTAGCTTCATCTATGCTTCACACAAAGCAGCCCACAAAAGTCGATGGAGTGGTGCGTATTAATGAATGTTCAACAATGTACAATTGTGAAGGTCCCTGTCTTCGGTATACTGAAATCCTGAATCCTTCTTTCAAAGTACGTTTTCACCTCCGCTAAAAGACATTCAATCTAACAGAAAAACTTCATCTTTGCACACAGATGCATCCCGGGGGGGTCAGTTTAGGCCACTATTGCACAAAGTAACACCTTCAATGAAGAGAAGGTTTTGGCTACAAAGTGTTCTTTCAGTTACTTCACGCGGTCAACCATCAAAGACTTTTAAAATTGTCCATTACAATTCTCTTAACATCAAAACGGCCATTTCTCCATCGAATGAAAGCGGCACCGATTCAAGTCTCCCATGGAAGACAGTAAGATTTTCGGCCTTCGAACTCTATTCGAAAGACGGCTCCGATCATCATCATCACCAGTTGGTATAGAGAAACAACACCGAACACATCATATTGTATCCTCACGGAAAGTTGTATTGTCCTAGAGATGACACATTTTTCAATACCAATAATCATAGTCATACAAGCCACACAGAAGTTTCAAGTAAGGCAGCAACAGAACACAGACCCCAGAACTCTATGTTGATAGAATGGACGATTATCCTAGAACAGAATCTACAGTCAATGTATTTGTCTCACCTCATGATGATTTCTCTCGTGGGTTCGAAATTCCGGCCTGGTCGAAATTGTCGCCCCCAGGAATTGGAAAGTTGTTACTGACTCCACCGGTAGCCAGGAACTATGACAGCGTCTGACAGAGGCCTATCATCCAGATCCTCGTATCGTAGGCAGGCGTTAGTATCCACTGCTAGGATGCGTACTGGCCTACCGAAAGCTTATTCTTTAATTCACCACCAACGCAGTACCGTCAGCTACGTCCTCTCTCAAAATGCTCTCAGTCATTGTTATTTCTAGGCTGCTCAATAAATCCTGTCTACCTGTGACATCCGTCGGTCCTGAGGAGCCTGCCCACAAACACTGAGTACACGGTCAGATCTCTCATAACTGTGAAATATTTCAGGCATGATTAATATTGCTGCCGCACGGCTTAGCATGCGCCTGACACCTGCAAAATGTAAAGTTGTAGTGTAAGACTGATTGGGAGTAGATTCTAACCCCACACGTGAGAACCGGTGTGGTAGATAAATTCATCCAACTGAGTAGTCCTCGCCAACTGTTGAGTGTGAACTTCTTCCCGAATCGGTAGGACTATGACAACCTTTCCGGACGTCCGGGATCCATCATGTCTATCCATCAGTCTACTTGTCAGGAGTGGAATACACTCAGAGCGATGCTTGATTTTCGACGTCAAAGGTGTGGCACCTATAAGCAAGTACACAGACTTTCGGTGCCCGAAACGCGGTCATAATATGCAGGTTCCAATGGTTAGGCAAAGTGCTTCAGATGTTAGTAACGCCTTCCACGGTGCTTTCTGTCCAGCTATGCACGGAGCAGACACAACCTAAGACACCAGTCAATGACTGGGCAACGAGAGTGTGAGGGCCCTTACTACTTAGTCGCGTTGACAACTGCCCCCTCTCTGAATGGTTCTTCGAGCTGCGACGCGCCAAAGGTCCATGATACATACAGGGGACAAGTAGCGGTTCGGCAGTAAAGTTATCGTCAGGGAGCAGCTTTCCTTACTTCCGTTCCCTAAGAATAGACGAACAACCCACCTTCGAAATACTGGTTAGATCATTACCTTCAACATACATTAATTTCGCTTACTCCCCCCCCCACATTTTCGGCAGTGTGCAATTGAAACAAACGTGCCAAGGTACGCAGTTTATGATTGTACAACTGAACTAAACTGAATTGATGTCATAACATTGCGGCGTTTATTACTGTTGTGATTTCGACATCGCTCGACAGATATAGACTAAGCAATGAGACAGAGTACTTAGAGATTGGGCTCAAAACCTAACTGAGATGGAGTTACTGTTCTTGTGGAGAACGCTCGTTTATTTTTAGAACGATATTACAGAGTAATGATAAATAGCAATAAAACTAAGTTAAACAGACTCTCGGGCGAAAATGGCGCACGGCCAAACGGTTAGAAGTTTGGATTGGTAGACGATCAGATGCATCAACTGATCGATTGGGGTTGGAGCCAAAAACCAAAGCAACCTCGTGGCTAACTGTTTTGTGAGAGAAGATAATAAGTCCCATTGGGAGAAAAAAAGATGTTCGAAGCAGTTGGTTTTTAAGGTTTATCTGGAGATCGGTAAATGGTTGCATATAAATCCGGTGCACCCGACCCATGACGCAAACCGGAACCACGTAGATACCTGTTGCGCAAGGTCACTCTTGTCATTAGTAACTCGCGCTGCAGATATGTCCGTTTGACTACTGTTAGACAATGCACATTCGCTGCTCAGGTTCTGTCGCACAATTAGAGGGGAAATCAGCTGCGCACCGCAGTTTAATGGTGCAGCACAGCGAAAACTTCAGCCAATGGTTAGATCAATGGTAAATTAATCTGTGTATACAACGTCCTGGGTACCAAACAGGGACAGACGCAATGGATTGGGTTATCTAAATTCAACGTGACCCAAAAAGGCAAGAATGAAAAACTAACCAGGAGGGAAACCCATAACCCGGAAGATGCGTTCCAGTTGCTCCTTGTGATATGGAGTACTTGTCTTAATATCTTCTTGTCGGCAGTGAAAAATCGGCTCATATGTCAATAGCTCAGCGAAAATGCAACCAATGGCCCAAATGTCAATTGCTTTAGTATAATGTCGAGCCCCCAGAAGCAGCTCAGGAGCACGATACCAAAATGTCACTACCACTGGGTCCAAATCTGCCAACGGTTTCAGCGGCTGGTAGAAGAGACGTGCGAAACCCAGGTCAGCGATTTTAACTCGGCCTCGTTCGGAACCTTCCCCCATGACAAGAATATTGGCTGGTTTCTGAAAGGAGTAATAAATTCGCATTCAGTGTTCAAAGCTGTAGGTACTTCCCGTGGTCAGGACAACGACAGTGTCCCCAAATAAGGAAAAAAGACAAGTATGATAGTGAAATCGGAAGAAATACCAACACGTGCTTTACAGGTGGTTGCAAACACGTGAACAGATGGAGGTCCGACTCCGGCATGTAACCAGGAGGCATGAACCCAAAGTGGCTGACGTTTGCAATTTTGGTCATCGGGTCTAGTAGCTGTAATGGCCAATGAATTGCATTTAGTCGAAACCCTGAACTTGTTTCTTGAGAGTAAGATGGAAAAAAGTTCACATCGCCTTATAAGCTCTAGGAGATATCGAAGAGTACACACAATCAGCAGACGTTCTGAGAATACGTTCATGCTAAACAATGTAGAGATATGAAACAGCTGGGTATCCGGGGACACATATCGACTTAACATAAGTATGTAGGGCTCTCAAAATTCTCATGACAGACCTATTCTCAGTGAGTGCATGATAGGAAAAACGATACGATTCTGCCGAAGTTAAACATGACTTTGTCAACGTTTTCTCGGCTATTCTCTTATTCCAGTAATCCGTGATCGACTATAGGATTCACGATTCTCAATATGATTTACGATAATCAGCCCATAATTTACTTCATACTGGGAAAAAATACTCCATGAATAGAGTTTTGACGTAAAATGAATAAGGGCACATGAAAAATCTGCTGAACAGTAAAACCATATCACCTTAAAGTGCTCCACTGAACAATCGGGGGGAAGTTAGGAACGCATAAGGCATTCCAAATGTAAACAGTTGTACGAACAGCTCTAAAAAATCGCGCGGTACGCTTGCACTTGAAAATAGGGTCGAGACGAAAAAGAACGAAGGTTATCTCAAAAGCACCTCAGGGAATAAGTGGTGATGGCGGAAAAATTTATCCCACACTATACTTGGGCTAAATTACGGTTGGATCGATGAGTGAAGCTCAGATTCAGGTCACGGTTTTGCCCATACACTGCTGGCCACTAATCGGCAGAACACTAGCAGCTCATTGAGACCCACAAATCATGGTTTTGTGTATGGTCAGTCATAGAACCCGAGCAACCTACTGGCCCACAATTCCGTTGTTCGAATCAGCCCTTATGTACCAATTGCTCTCATCTAGGTTTGGACAATGCGGCAGCACTTAACCTGTGGTGTTTCCGTCCAGTTGCAAAACTTCGTTTTTAGTTGGCTTGTCTTGTTTACTCATCGGGATTAGATTTTTCTTGATTTCCCCTGTGAATGCTCCAGAGAATAACGGTCAGAAGGTTAATACCATCCTCACCAACTGTCTCAGTTATCAAATGTTACGAGCAAAAAGTGTTTCGGAGGAAAAAGCAGGTGAGCACATGAAGTGAGATAGCCCGGGAGAAGGTCAAGAGAACCGAAGAATTCACAGTACAGTATGTCTGGCGTCAGAAAGAGTCTGGGGGCTTGCTACCGCTGTACTTAGAGATCTCAGGAAACAACCTGAATCAAAGATCTGCAAATATTTGTATCGATCTGTACAGGAATGGTAGGACAGCCTATCCGCGTCGTGGAAGTGACGTTCAGCGGAAAATTACAGTTCCCATACGAGTCGATTGAGTGAAGGTAGGCGTCATTATCAAAAAACGATACATTTGTAGAACCGGGCTAAAAAAGGGGAATGGGGATTCAGAGGTGCGGAAACCAGAGCAATAGAGTTTATCACGGAATATAAAAATAAAAGTTAATTATCTTCTGGGCTGGAAACTTGAAGCTCAATGAGGAACGGACTATAATTGAAATGGAAAAATGGACCGACTTGACGTTATAGTTCAGCCCCCAACAAGTGCCTGAAATTCCTACTTCAGCAGCCCGTCCCCAGTTTGTCTCCATGAGTCACAATCTTAACCTAGCACACCGTGGCGGAGTACCTATGGGTCGCGTAGGCTAACTGAGCCAAGCATTCTGGTCGACTAGGGATGAGAACCAAAGGAACACATAGTAACGCAGCAGTGAACGCAAAGAATTGGACGAACGAGGCAGATATGATAAAACTGGTTCCTAATAGAACTAAACTTGCCATAACATAAACGTTCATCTGAAAACAACAACCTACCAGATCCCTGTGCAGCACCCAATTGTCGTGAAGATAGTGGATCCCGTTGAGAATTTGAAACATCAAACTTTTTACCATGTTTCCATAAACCTGTACGGTCGTTTTGTTCGCTTTGGCAGTTCTGTGGAACTTGATTATGTGCCACAAATCATGTTCGGCAAAATCAAACAACAACCAAACTCGACGTGTTGCATGATTCAAAAAGACCCGATGGAGCGTGATTACATTCGGATGTTTCAATTCTCGCAGCAGCTATAGAATAAAAAGCAGATCGAATCAATCAAACCAGAAACAACAAACTGCAATTTCACGACAGGCTGACATGGAAAGGCCAGTCCCTTCAATTTGTTTCAGCGCATATTCCCGCTCATCCGCACCGTCCTTTCGGCGGGCTTTGTACACGCTACCATATGTACCTCGGCCAACTTTACAACCTTCGAACTCGAAGTTGTCTTCAACCTTCTCGCGGATTTCACTTAATTTCCGTTTGAACTCCACGTCCACCATCAGTCAAGATGTCATGAAGCTGCGAGAGTAGACAAAATCAAAGCACTAAGGGAACCTCGAAAGCAACTAATGACAAATGCGAAAAACGGATTTCGTGAACTGAGGGAATGTGATACAGAGAGAAATAGATGTAACTTGTATTACACACCAAAAGAGACACAAATGAACAACGACTGAATTAGTCGACTAACCATCAGCGGTTACCGTTTGGTACAGTAAAACAACAACCTGGAAAAGTGATTCGATGGAAAAATAGGAGAGTTATTTTATGTACAAACACATTCACCTCCCACAACACACCGAAGGGTGATGCTTCGAGGAATAAAACCAGACTGCCCGACTCCATAATTACCAATTATAAGGGTAAGGTACTTCAAAGACACATCAACGTGTTAACTGAGAGTGCAAAGTACCTGTATAACTATGCGAGACCATGGTGAAAATCGTAGCTTTTGACTTCCCGCTTGAATGGAGAGTGGACACACTGCGAGCGGAAAAAATTCTCCTTAGTATCCCGCACCGTACATAACCACTAACACCTATAGTTCATCTAAAAACGTACCCTAAGTGACTGTCAAGTGGACCCAACTACATTTCGAATGATCTAATAATGCCTGTAGATAAAATAAATATAAATCGTTTAGCTGAGCCCAACTGCCATGCCACGCGAAAGAAGCACGAAGGCTGAGATACTGCCAGGTTGCCCAAGCATAGACAGCAGCAGTCAGGATGGGGGTTGGGTTTGAATCACAGGCCTTCCGGTCCGCGTCTTGAACACTGGGACATTTCAACCACTACTGTATATAATAGCTTCAAATTGAGCCAATGCCTCTTAAAAATCCTGAGGTCTTATACCATCCCAGCAGGTAGGAAATGGGAAGGATAAAAGGCAGTAATATGCAAGCATTGACCAAAAATGTAGGTATTTTCATCAAGTGCCGGCTATTGAATTCTTCAGGACTACGATCGGTTGCCATTTCCTTGGCACTCTCCGTTCAGAAAAACAAAGGTATTTCCAGTCACTCACAACAGTCAAGACATATCCTCCACTAGCTATTCCATTGCCCCAAGAAGCTGTGCCGACTTGTTTTTCAACGTCAATGTGTGCCCTCAACCAATTCATCTTCAGTGGTTCCAGATCCACCTTGAAACAGTCTCTTTTGGGTCTTGATGGGACGTCGGCGTTCTGCCTTGAAAAGGCAAGAATACATACCGTCCTCTAAAGTTACACACTCAGCGTTAAGTGTGCAATTAAGAACAAAGCTTCTCGTCAGCCCACCCAATGCGCTTTCAGGTAATCCAAAGCACTTGTGAGACATTCCTACCCTTTCAAAACCCCTGTAGAGTGCCTGATGAGCAATGAAACTTGAATTTGAGGATGCCTGTTAGTCAGAGAATGTGGTAGGTCCTGAAAAGCAATGCACTGCTAATTTCATCTTGTTTGAGACTAATCAGGACCAAGCAACCGTCTCTGTAATGCTTCCACTCAAGTACCGATTTGTCAGTACTCCCTGACTAGGAAACACGCAAATCACGCTATCTTGGTTGTCTTCGGTATCGGTGGCACTGAACCACGGTAATGTTCAGTACTGCCACAGCTTGGAGTGGATACCGTGTGTTAGCTGGACTAAGACAAACCAGGACAGAGTTAGTCGACGGGTGCGCTGTGAACAAATGAAGGCGACCCACGTGGCTGGGACGTGAACCCAAAGTGTCTGTCGTGTTGAATCAAATTACAAGAGACGAAGGTCCAATGGATATAAGCCATTATACCTGAACATTGTGATGGAAACCATAAGAGCTTCACACAACAAACTCGTGAAGTGAGAAACTGGAACACAATAAAGGACGGTTGTGGGATATAGATTATGCAAGTTGGTACCCATCAAATGCGCCAAAACTAGATAGATGTGTCTGCACACATCGCCTCAGAATCACCGGTCGTCAACGGACACAGCGATCCGTCCACGAAACTTCGGAGGATACGGCAAGCTTACCAGATCAGTCTCAGCTATTTTAGGATGCTACACAGGTAGCCAGAAGACATTAAAATTTGCTTTTCAAGACCACCACCAAATGCAGTAAAACATATAAAGCCGCGGTTAGTCATAGGTTATGGTTTCGGCTAGATCTCTTAACAAAACATACGACCAGTTCGCTCGTTAAAAAATGTGCCACAGTCCATAGTCTTAAACAACAAATCACATCGCTCATTGTGATCAAAGAAATGCTCACCTTATTTTCGTCCTCACATACGTCTCCAGGTTGAAATGATTACCTGAATGTTGGCAAATTCTTCCGTTAGCTGAGAAATCAGATACATAGGGAGTACGCTTATGAACATGATGTGGGAAACGAATAAAGGTCTGGT